TCCTATCCTGCACATTTTAGTATGTGACTTAGAACTGATAGTTTAAATTTTCTCTTCTTACTGTACAAAACCTCAAAAATATGGCTCAAACAAAATACAATTCAGTGTAAAAAGGTATTATAAATTTCATTTTTATTCATAAGTTGCTCTGTTTTAGAAAAAGCTCTTTTTCAACTCTTTTCAGTCTAAATAGTTAGAAGCTTCAAAATTTGTCCCAAGCACTTGATCTATCAAGCTTGCTCTCCAACATAAACCACCACTAAAAAAATTCTCATTGCTCTTTCAAAAAATTTTTGGCCAGGGGGTTTTATATTTTGGCAAGACAGTTCAAAGCATTTACTATTCAGGCAGTAAGAGACAACCTCTCTCTCCCCCAACACTGCTACAGTGTCTGACTGTTTGTTTGCCTTAGAGTTTTCACATTTTAATGTTATTTTTTAACTTTAATCTTTCAGTATACTGCTACTTAAGATGGAAGTAAACTTGTCTTTCTTGCTTCACAACAGAGGTAATTCACTCAGAAAAAGTTCTCACACATTAATTACAGTTGCCTCACTAAAAGTCCTCCATCCATGACAGTTTCCTCTCACATTCTTGTGCCTTTCCCTAGTACCAATACAGTTCTGTTAACAATTCCAGTAAAAGCAGATAAATACATGTATTTAATATTGTCAGCTCTTCACGTAAAGTTTCTATTAAGGCAAAACATGTTTTTTTGAAAGAGAACTCTGGCAGAAAGACTGCTTCATCCTCCCTGTACCTAGACTCCATAAAGGCTTTCAAATCAAGTACTACAGCAAATACTGTTGAGATAAACTGAGGAATGCTGAATTCTTCATCTTGGGGTTTTTCATTTCCTTGAATTAGACAAATCTGCACATGCATTCAATTTTTTTCCTAAACACTTATTTTGTGATCTGCATATCACTGGGCAAACAGGTCGCTCTATTTCTTGTAGGAGCTGCCAGAGAAAAAACTGAGAAGAAAACTGAGCAGTGAGACAACTGTCTGTGGGACTTCCCACAAAGTGGTAAGCATTCCCATGAGCCAAGCCAGAAGGCCTGGAAAGGAAGCAACCCTCTGCTCTGAGCACAGGAAAGCAATTTTGTACAGTTTCATGAAGCACAACATTTTGCAATATACAACTTGTAGCATGTAAATATATGTTCATTACCTAGTTCAGATGATCTAGTTTAAAGTACATGAGTATGAAGGTGAGGACTGCAGAACTGTTTTTCGGGCTGCTGGATATCTGTATTCCCTGGTGAGTGTTTTTACTGCATGATTACAGCATCTGTTCGACAAAGTCCTTTGGGAAACCGTTGCTGTTTACAATTTAGCAGACTATCAATACTGCTTTGTAGGCTCGTAGGTGAGATTAATGCACAAGAATAGCTTGTTTTGAAAGAGCTTTCTTGAATTTCATAGT